GAATTCACATGGGAGCGCGAGGATCAAATGAAATTGAAATATCCTCATTTATTCTCTTAGTTATTTGTAACTACTTTATTTGCTTAAACTCTAATTTCAGGATGAAATTCCCTTTAATGGGGAGATGATGTGACAACCCGGAATTTTCATTCGTACAAACGCTAAAGTCAAACACTTCAACTAAAAGTCAATTACATTTCTAATAATTGTTAGCCAATTTAAAGTCCGTTTGAGTGTTTTTCGTATTTATTCTTCAAACTTTTAGAGTTTGGGCCGTAAACTCCCATGTGGCCGTGAACTTATGCCTTAGGCATGATTTTACACTCCATCCTCTTCATTTCTCACTTCCACCATCAAGAACACTCCCCATTCTCTCTCAACTAGCATCCCGTTCTTCACCCGATCTTCCGAAAACATAAGTGTTTCTCGACTTGATTTGTTGTTATAACCTAACTTCTATTTGTTATGCATCATTTAATCCATTCATTATTGCTTTTCAACTAGAACTTCAAGTGTTCTTCAAAACACCAAGAACACATACTAGTGTTCTTGGACCTTAAACACCCAATCAAGCTTCTATCTTGTAACTACACTTTCCCGAGCTTCTTGTGTGCTTAATATGAACTTGATAACACTTGAAAATCATCAAAAATCATAAGATCAAAGGAGTTTACGGCCTTGGATACTAACCTTGATCCTTCCTAGAAGTGTTTAATACCTTAAACAACAATCAAAACGTGTCCCCATAAGAGTTTAAGGCCATAAACACATAAGCATATTGTCCTTAGTCCGTTAACTCTACAAAGTAGTCTTATTGTGCCTCTAATGCTTTCCTAAGGCTTGGACTTGATCATTAGATACTCAATCATGACTTATAAGACTCAAAACACAATATGGTACTTAGTACCATGAGTTTATGGCCATAAACTCATGGGCAAATGACCATGGACCGTAAACTCCATAAGGAGTGGTTCTTGGGCCATAAACTCCAATGCCATGCCATACAACCTTTAGATGCAACCCTTTGGTACCTATAACACTTGAATCAAAGTGTTTCCATGTCCTAGGGTGTCTTAACTTGATTAATTAGTTGGAAAATAACTAATTAGATACATATATGTTTATTATATGTTAACTAGGATCATTGTGTGTGTTCAAGTCCTCACTTGACACCTAGCACCTTGTCCAACACTTCCGTACAAACCACTCACTACAGGTGAGTTCATACCCCTTAATTAACATTTGAAATATTTTTCAATATTTTTAAATGCTTTTATGGGGTGGGGATACAAGCTGAACAAAGTTAGTTATTAGATCAATCACATGTGATTAATAACTAGCATTCAAATGGATTTTTCATACTTTAAACTGTTCTACCAAACAAATGACTTCAAATTGCTTATCAAACTATTTTACATGTTAAACTCTTTATCAAATTCACTTTTGTATGCTAAACCTTTCTTTTACAGTTTTCAAACTTATATATTGTTAAAACCATGTCTACTACATATATAGTTATATAAATAAGGTTTGAAGGACTTAGAACTGATAACCCACTTTACTTCCTATCCTTGTTTGGTTGTGGCCTTAAAGTAGTCAGTTGTTTGTTCGAGTGTTGTTGAATCCTTACTTATATGTTATGTATATATGTATAGATATAAAGACTTTTATCTCAGTTCAGTACATTCGGTCATACAAAGAAGTCTACTAATAAACTATAATAGGTATAGTTTAGGGTTATACTACTTACTACTCCTAGTCCAATGAAGCATACAAGAGTCAGTTCATTCATGAGTCATTACTTACTATGATGAGAACACATACAACTATACTATGATGAGAACATATACAACTATACTATGATGATAGCTTATACAACTATACTAGGATGAGAATATATACAACGATACTATGATGAGAAACAATACATTCATTACACAAGTACATACATTACATATATAACTATACGATAACATAAATGTGATACATTGTATTGGAGCATGCCTTCATTGACTATCCTACACCTTACTGCTAGATATAGTGGGAACGGCAGGTCTTCGGGTGTCAAATGTCATACCTTTTGACGACTTACACTGTCGTGTTTCCCAGTCGATAGTATGGTATAGTTAATCACATAATACCTTGATATAAATCCGGTTTAAGGTAGTTAGTATAGCAGTAGTTCCTATAATACAACACTACAGTACTACATTAATTTACCCTTTACATATATTTGGTGATCACTTCACTTAAACATTAGTGTATAAACTATATATTGATAATGATAGTTACACTTGGGAACATTACACACTTTTACAAGAAACAAACATACAAAACAGTTGTGCCTTGGTAGAAGGATACTTTTAGTAGAAAATATAGGATTTTCTAGGAGTTACAACCACTTACAAACATTCACATACTTTTACTACAAACGTTTACAAACTCGTACTTCAATCACCATTTCAAACAGTTTGATACAAACATAGACACTAAATACTTATGAACTCACCAGCTTTAATGTTGATAAACTCATTCAAAATAACTTGTATTCTCAGGTCATCATTAGACAGGTACCGATCATAGCTTTTGAGAAGATGGAGCGCATGCAAGACTCATCTTATATTTTAATTCATGTTTTGGTGTCTTATATACTACTGAACACACTTGTATTAAAATTATATATTTAATGCAATGGTTGATGTTGTTTACTTATTTGCTATTATACTGTGTTGTGATACTATAGATGACGTCCTCCGCCCCATAACGTTTCTGCTGTTCTTGGTTTTGGGGTGTGACATTGATCAAAGCCTCTAATTGACTCAATGTGTATGTTCGAAAGCCTTAATGAAAAGTTTCATACGAAGATTTCTTCCCAATCAGGCTTGTATTCACATTAGTCTTCTGAGCTACCTGAATCTTCTCACATGAGTTAAGAGTTTACTGTTTGGTCTAAAAATAACAGAGGTACATTTTGTTTCTTATACCAATTTTTTCATCTCAAAATTCTTACACAATCACACACGAAGACATATGTCCAAGAGGTATCTGATCAAACCAATCGTAACCTAGACATATCACAAATCTGTGTTTATGATCAGACATCATGAGACCATGATGAAAGTGAAACCCAAATTTCTCAACATTTAAGGAATTGATGGGGAACTATGTTCTAGGTTTTAACGAAACATTTGTTTATGTACCTACATTTGAAACTCCAAATCATATTCATTTCTTATCAGTGGTCTTGATCAAACATTCAAAACCCACGATGTTTGTTACCCAACACGATCCAGTACACAATTGTTTTTCTTGAATGTGATTTCAGTGTGAGTTTTATCGAAAATTCAATGTTAGTTTAGAGTTTATCAAAGCGAACTTGTCACTGACTACACTGGTCAAACAAGTAATTTATGTTACACTTACTCACCTTATGTTTAGGTTGATATGTAACGAAATTCATTAAGTCACCTCAAAAGCCTTTTAAAAGAAGCCCTTCGATACTTCTTTACAAGTATTCGATTGTAATTAACGGGAATGTACATAAGCTGTTGATTATCTCTCTTGATGATTAACGAAGAAATCTTTGCCCAGGATTTTAAATTCCTTCATTTCAAATTGAACTTTTGACATCACTAAATATCCAAAAAAAATTTGTTATTGCTTCTCATCTGTATTCTTTGAAACACTACACACACGAAATCCTTTAGGTTCTGAGTAATACCAACTCAGGTTGATAATTTCAAAAATCTGGCAAATGACTTTACTTTGAAACCCTAAAGTAAAAGAGCCTTACTTTCATACGAAGTGTTCCGACGGTTACTATTCCATTGGGGCAACCAAACCAGCCTGTTTGAGGGGACGTTTTGTATTCTGTCCGGGTTTTGAGGAGACATGACAGTTAGTTTATCACGCATGGTTACAGTACCATCATCATGATGCAATTTTCTCGGTGACACGTCAAGTTTCATTAAATGCAGATCCCACTAATATTTCAAAATCAAGGGTTACATATAAAAGGGGATTCAAGGGTTCATTATCAGTTTACACTTTCAAACTCAATAATTCCCAGATACTCTCTGATAAATATCAAGCTTTCAAACCCTAACAATGGCGACTACTGCTAATCTTGATGCAACTCTTTCTCACACCACTGATAATGTTACTTCTTTGCCGATTATGAAGATTCAAGGTACGGATTATCAAGTGGAGGCAAATGTTTCTCAATACCCTGAAGAAATCAAGATGCTAATCGTTGCTTTGAGGAGTTATGTTCTGTCAAAAGCTATGTTCAACTCGTTTTTTGTTCCACTTTCATGGATCTCTCAAGTTGGATCAACTGCTACCTATTCAAAATCTTTGCATGCAGTCACTTTCAATTTGGTGAATGATAAAATGGTTAGACTATCCAAGAAGCTTTTCTGTTAGATTTTGGACATCCCTAATTCCCCACCATATGTCAATTTTACCTTTCCACAAATTGTACACATGTTTAATGAAATGGGCCATCAACCTCAACTATCAAAGATAAGTGACTTCAAGAATTATGGTCTTCCTATTGTTTGGAATTTCTTGTTTGGTATTTTCTTGAGGTGCTTGACTGGAAGAACAGTTGGTTTTGAAAAAGGGAGAATGGAGGTTTGTGCCATGGTAGCAGGGCTTTATTATGATCTTCAAGTGGATTACTCTGCTCAATTGTGGAAAGAATTTTTGAAGAGTATCGTAAACATGAATGCTCTTCATGGCATTTCGTGTACGAGATATTGGAGCTTGATCTTGCAGGATTTTTAAAAGAAGGAGGGGATTATGATTCCTATGTGTACAGTTGTACGAAGGATGCAACTGATGATGCTGAGGAGTTTCTTGTTGTAGCTCGTATTCCAGATGCAATGCTCAAACAAGTCGATCCAACGAATAAAGTCTTAGTGGCTTATTTGCAAACAATTGATACAGCTATTGAGACTGAAATTCTATAGGCAAGAGAAGAGACGAAGTCAAAATGTATGAAGAAGACTGATGCTGGTTCTTCTGAGAAACAAATCAAGGAGTCTAAATCTACAAAGGTTCCAAAGAAGTTACCAGTTACTGAAGTAGAGCCAACTTTACACGAAGTTTCAGTTGCTGATACACCCTTAACTCAAAAGGAAATTATTCCTTCGAAGACCGATTTTTTTCGAAGAATCAAAATGAAATCAAAGCACAAGAACCGATCTCCACTCACAAATTTTGTCCAAAAGCCACAGGTTACTCATTAAGGACTTCTATTTCGTGAAATTCCAGCACATGCTTCACCATCATCAAAGAAACGAAGGGCTGCTGATATGGCTAAACACATTTCCAAGAAAAAGAAGAAGAAGAAGAAAAGCAAAATGATCATCTCTTCTGAGTGTACAGCTGATGAAGATGATACATTTACAGAAACTCCAGAAGCCAATCTTAACAAAGAAACTTCTACTCCTGCACAGAAAACTGTTATACCACCCGAAGATTCGGTTGCCAAGTCATTATCTAAGGAGGCCCGAACTTCTGACATTCTTGTAAACGTATCTAATACGGATGCAAATGTCATCATGGGTGAGGATGATTCGAAGAAAGAAAACCAAGGTAAACCTTCGACTGTAACCTCAGAAACCTTTGTTTCTTTTCCTCCACACATTACACCTGTCATACCCACTACTTCCACTACTAGTTCTCCTACTTTCTAAAACATTATCCAACAACCAATTACTTCTCTTTTTTCTTCTCAATCCACTGATCCACCCACAACCACTTCACAAATTCAAGAGTCTATTTTTATGGAATCTGAGCATGAATCGAAATGTTTTGGAGGAACTTTTGAGAACTTGGAATTTGATGAAGAAGAAGCTGATTTATGCTTATGACAATGAAGCGGTTTAAGATCTTGAATACAAACCTGCATTTAATTCTTCAGTCACAAGAAGATCTTGGGGGAGGTAATTCAGTAACCAGTTTAGAAGTTGAAGGTTTGTTAAAACTGCTAGAAGGAAGGATCACATCAAAAGTTTTGTGCATGATCAAAGACTCTGAGTCTCTTCTTTTAGAGAAAGTTGATATTTGTGATCATAACAATGAGATAAAGGTGAATTCTCAGAAGTCTACATTTGAAGGTGATTTGAAAGAATTGAGAATGGTGACAAAGGAATGTCATGTATTGTTCGTCCAAGATGTTAAAAAGGTGAGAGAGGATGTTAATTTTAAACTTCAAGAGCATCGCCAAGACATGGAGAAAGAGATTGCATGTGTTCACACATAATTTGCATCTTTAAATCAGAAGGTGGACATAATTTGTGATGTTGTTGTTGGATAAGGTGTCTAAGTCCATAACTATTTCTGGTATGTACTTGACCCGACCCGGCATGGTCCATTTGGGTTGCATGGCATCATGCAATTGGATAGACTAAATGAGAGAAATAACACTTGGAGATTATTAATATATTATAAGTTCTAATATATTAATAATATTATTTGATTAGCTTGATCAAGAATTAATTTAGAATTAATTATGTGATCAAAAGATAACTAATTAAATATATGGGTTGATTATGTAAATCATCCATATCTTGTATAGTGGGCTAAAAGGCTCCATGGACTATCAAGTTGGGTTCCACCCATAGGATGCTCCATGGATGCTCCATGGGAGTTACAAACCCATGGGTCATGGAAATGAAGAGTCATGACACATTAGGGTTTAACCCTAGATGTGTCAACACTATATAAGTAACATGTTCTCCACCTAAAATCGGCTACACTAAGAAACAAGAGGGCTTGGCCGATTTTGAGAAGTGTGTGTTCTCTCATAAGTTCTTCCAAGAGCATTTGGTGTTGTGTGAAGCATTTGAGGCATCACACTTGGGGTGCTAGGCTCACAAGGTTTCAAGGAACACAAACAACAACAAGGTAAGTTATTCTATCTATACTTTATGTTAAAATTGTTCCCCATGTATGCTAGATAGGAATATAACCTTGGAATTCAACTTTGCATGATAATTAGACAAACATAGATCCAAGGTTATTAGGGTTGCATGTACACTTAGGAAGTGTTAGAATGCTCAAAACCCATCAGTGGTATCAGAGCCTAGGCTTGTTTGCTCTTATTTGTGCTTAAAAGTTGAAAAAAGAATCGGAAATCTTGCTGTTTGCGAATGGACTCGTCGAGTCTATAGGGGGGACTCGTCGAGTTCATGAGTATCTTCAACCAACTCGGCGAGTGAGTTCATGCACTCGGCGAGTAGGGTCGACTGATTGCAGAATTTCGATTTAGTTACTGGAAATGAATTAAAAACATTACCCTAAACTATTTTGGTAATTGAAAACTTGTTTTTGGTGGTGTAATGTCTTTGCTAATTCATTTACAACAACTAGTTATCAAAATTACAAAGTTTTAAATGTAATTTTTGATTGTGTTCATATTCATGTTCTTGTTCTTATGATGTTTTAGATGATCATAGGAATTATTTGTAACCTATGTGGTAGATTAATTCTTGATCATAATGTGTTTTAATGGAGTCCATAACTTATCCTTAAGTTATGGAAAACCAAGAGTCACACTTGAATTAAAACCATTAAAAACACAAGAGTTAGAAAAATGAAGAGTCTTCATTTTATTACTCTATTAAACTCATAAGTTACAAGAAATGAAAAGTTTTGAAAGTTACAAAACTTGCCCTCAAGTTTTGGAACAAGTAAAGTTAAGTTAAAACTTTAAGTTCCAACCCCTAGAATTTTAAAAGTTAAAATTCAACCCTTATACTTATATTATGATGATTTAATAATTATATATATATATATATATATATATATATATATATATGTATAAGAATAAAGTCGTCTTACCGCTAGTACGCCTCATTCACGAAGCCGGTCTATAAGGTGGGTATAAGGTTGTTGCCTATAAAATGGTGACTTAATGGGTGTTTACTCTCACCCACCGCTTGCTTGACTGGTGGAGGGTCGTTAGCCGAACGGGTAAGACAAGGACTTATAAATTCTCATTCAAAGTATGATGAATATAATAAAGTAACTAAATGTTTTATTAAATTCCCAATCTTAGTTACTTTAGGAAAATGTGAATAAGGTGCTAATCCATGAAATTACACTTTACACTTTGTCTAAGTCGTTGGTGGAGCGTGTGTGGTTAACCGGCACACTAACTTGGACTTAACAAGGTAGGTAAAGGGTGACTTAAGGTTTATTATAGTATCGGTGGAGCGTATGTGGTTTACCGGCACATCGATTGAGTGATAAACTTTAAGGGTACCAAGTGATTTGCATGGTTACTTCACACCTCGTTTTGTGATCCTCGGTATCCCAGTCACAAAACTTGGAGGGCACTCTCGAGATTGAAACATGCCTTTGAAAAGTTCATTGGATCTCAAAGAATCTAGGAATTTCTAAAACCAATAAAAACTAAATATCTAATATTTCAGTTTTCGTGGTGGAAATTGGTGAATCGTCATTCACCTACCTTTCAAATATGGTATAGCTTAGATTACGGCATACCTCTTCTAAGTTATATTATATTGTGAGTGGATCCTAGCCTTAATATTACATTTGGGTGTTTTATTAAGGACTCCTTAAATCTATACTAAACTTGTTCTTCTCTTTCAGATGTCTTCAAATAATGCTTCTGGCTCGAATCCTAATGGCTCCTTTACTCTTATGAGTTTGTGTGGGAAAGTCACCTTTGATGGATCCAACTTCAATAAATGGATCAGAAACATCAGGATGATTACCTGCTACGAGGACAAAGAATATGTCCTTGACAAGGAGCTTAAGGAAATTGATGAGTCCACTGCAACTCCCCAGGAGATCGCTGACTTTCATACTCATGAAAGAGATGCAACCAAGGTGGCTTGCATCATGTTGGCCACAATGACAGCTGAACTCCAAAAGTCTTATGAGGATTTCTACCCTTATGAAATGCACCAAGATTTGATGGAAAGATACCATCAAAGTGCACGACAAGATAGGTACGAAGTCAACTGCTCCATGATAACAACCATGATGAAGGACAGAGATTCCGTCACGAGCCACATGCAGAAAATGCAAAGGTATGTGGATCGTTTGCTGAAGCTTAATGTGAACTTCCCTGAGGAGCTTGCAATAGATATCATTTTGCACTCCTTACCATCGTGATATGATCAATTCCGCATGACATATCACATGAACAAGGAAGAGGTCACCCTCAGCAAACTTCAGGGACTTCTCAAGACCGCAGAAACAGGTCTTAAGGGGAAGTCGGTTGCTATCACTCCTACTCCAGACTCAACTCCGATCTTGGCAATCGGGCAAAGTCGAGGGAGGAAGAGAAAGAGATCTTCGAAGGGTACCAAGGCTCGGACCCTTGATGGCTCTTCTTCAAGTGGAACCAAGAAAGGTTTCATTACTCCTTCTTCTGACCCAAAAGAGGCTGAATGCTTCTATTGCCATGAAAAAGCTCATTGGAAGCGGAACTGCCCAAAGTACCAGCAGGATGTGAAGGATGGGAAAGTCAAACCCAACCATGCAGGTATTTACACTATCATTTCTAATAACTCACCCCATTCAAATCTTGGGTCCTTGATACCGGTTGCGGTATTCATATTTGTTGTGACTTGCAGGACTAGGAAGAAGTGAGAATGTGGAGCAAGGAAGAATAAACTTAATCATGGGGAATAGGAAAGTTACACCTGTCACCAAGATTGGAGTTTATACTTTATCGCTAAGTGTGGGTTAAATTTAGATTTGAATAAATGTTGTTATTCGCCAGAAATGGCAAGAAATATTATTTCCTTTCATGCATTGTACAAACAAGGTTTCACCTTTTCGTTTGATAATGAAGTTGGTTCGATTAATGCTTTCTTTAATAATGTTCTTTATTTTAAAGCATTACCTTGTGATGGTGTGTATGAAGCTGTATCTGTTGTAGATAACTTAGGAAATAATGTTTGTGTATTGATTCTACTAATAATAATAACTTGGATAAAGCATCATTATGGCATTGTCGTCTTGGACATATAAGCAAGAAACGCATAGGCCAACTCCAAAAGGATGGAGTCTTGGAGTCATTTGACCTAAAGTCAAATGATAGTTGCGAATCATGCTTACTTGGAAAAATGACAAAGTCACCCTTCACAGGCTCGTGTGAAAGGGGTGAAGGTTTGTTGGACCTTATACACACGGATGTGTGTGGCCATTCAAACATGCCACAAGGGATGCTAATCGTTATTATTTGACTTTTACTGATGATTACAGTAGATATGGATATGTCTACTTAATCAAGCATAAGTCAGAGACTTTCGAGAAGTTTAAGGAATTTAAACAGGAAGTCGAGAATCAATTGGGCAGGAACATTAAGATGCTTCGATCCGATCGGGGTGGTGAGTATCTTAGTTCAGAGTTCCTCGACTATCTAAGGGAATGTGGGATTGTCTCACAATTGACACCTCCCAGGACACCGCAGTTGAATGGTGTGGCTGAGAGGCGTAATCGAACCTTGTTGGACATGGTTCGTTCCATGATGAGTCGAGCTTCGCTACCAATCTCATTCTGGGGTATGCCTTAGAGACTGCCGCCCATATCCTTAATCTAGTCCCTACAAAGAAAGTTGCCAAAACTCCTCACGAGATGTGGACTGGTAAAGTACCTAAACTAGACCACATCAAGATTTGGGGTTGCGAGGCTTTCGTGAGACGCGAGACTCATG